GAACTGAACCCACAACCCTTCGTTTACAGGGCAACAGTCCAACCCAGTGAGCCACAGCAGCCAGGGCCCAAAGCCTTTCCTTTGCTGTTTGATCTTTGAAGCTATAGCTTATCATATTTCTAATTATAAACCCCAGTGACAGGATTTGCACATTATATACTTCCACTCTGTACCCCAGATTCCTCAGTGATATCCTCAAGTGAGCCAGTGGTTTCTACTTCATTTATAAACCGACTTCTGACACATGTACTTTTTTCTAAAGGGACCAAACCCACTCTCCCAAACACATTTCAGAACACAAGCAGGCAAGCCTTAACAAACAGTAATAATTTAGACATATATAGAACTCTCTAGAATCTATAGTATGCCTATGCATTCCTTATACAATCTTTCACATAATGGCTCACAATAATCAGGTGTGGTAGGCATCATCACTCTCAATTTACAGAGAGGAAATTTGAGGCTCAGAGAGATTATGTAATGTGCCCAAGGTCATACAGTAGAGCCTGGTCTCAAAAGGGTAGATGTTTCTATTCTGACTCAAATATGTGAAAGTTCTCCCTCTTGCCCACCTATTCTGCAGTCTTTGGTGACCTTACTGCCTTCATTCAGTGACAAGCAGGCACATGGATGCCTAGAGGCAATCCCTAAATTTTGGGATTTCTGCCACTTCATGGAGTCACCACAGATCTGAGATCTAGTCCTCAGGACATCAATTTTTATCAATTCACTAAAAGGTGAAGAGACTGGGGAGAGAAAGTCACACTGACTAAACAAGTAACTAAGTGATAAATCTAAATGTTAATTTCTTAATTAATATACTAATATTAGCAATAAAATAATATGCTAATACTAATTCCTTGATATACTGAGAAATCAAACTGCTCAGAGAGCTAGAATGTTAAGTGGGAAGTCCTTACTAAGGTGTTAGGTGGGTAGGCTTGATTTGAATAACCAACACAGGACACTTAGAAATACTTTGTCCCCTGAACAGAACTGACATGCTCTGACATATTTTCATCTTTTGATTGCTCTCCTAGATTGCAGACTCTTCTCTTTTTAGTTATGACAACTATATTGGATGGATCATAATGAACTTTACTAGATTATAGTTAATTATAGTTTTCATTCCTTGGAAGAAATTTAGAAAACACCACAAATGCATACCCAGCATATTTTCTAATCATCACCAAGGGAGATTTTTAAAAGTTTTTTATTATGGCAACTCCCAAACATACAGAGAGCAAGAGGGACTCCCCATGTACCCATATCCCGGCTTCAACATTGATCAACAACCTGCAGCTTTCTTTCATCTATCCTACCTGCCCCCCAACTTGCATATAATCTTACTCTAAACTATTTTAAAGTAAATCTCCAAATCTTATTTTTCAATTCAGACGCTGTACCCTGTTTGAAATTCACTCTCTGAACTGAGGATGAGTACAAATGCCCAACGCACCAAGACATGTGATGTGAAATGAGATTTGCTGTTTATCAGATACTCTGGGGGGAGATTTTCAAAACCAAACCCCTGGGCCTTACACCAGACCTATGAATCAGGTGTCTGGGAGTGGGAACCAGGCATCTGGCCATGCCAAAAGTATTCCAGGCTATTTAATTGTGACTTTTTCAGAGGCCAGAATTTGTAAGTCACCACTGGAAAGTAGTTAGTCAGTGTTAGAGCTACTGTCCCCTTCTATGCTCCAGAGTCTGCTCCAGGGTCACATTAGCTTCAACTTTAGGGATAAAGATGGGCCCAACCTCAGGGCCCAATGTGGATCCCTGAGGAGGGACTAATGGTCTACCTAGCTTTGGGAGGGCTGTTGGTAGGCTCTGCTTTGGACCTAGGCTTGGGGTAGGGGTGGATTTAAATGGAATGGCATGGTTTAAAAGTGAAGAGTGTGAGGGATGGAAAGGATGGGGTCAAGAGGCTGTCTTGGAGCCCCTGTCATGGAGGGTGGGGTGGGCATCAGGCTTTAAGGTGCTCCTAAGTGAAGATACCAGTTAGGCTTTGAAGACAGGGAAGTAGAGGAATCACACAGAACTGTTAGAATGCACATCTCACATTGTATATGAATGCCCCATACCCTGTTAGTGTGCAGTCCTAGGTCATGGGAGATGATTCCATGGAGAAAAAGAAGGATATTAAACAGCTGAAAGGGTGGTAGGTCAAGACCTGACTGAGCTTTCAGAAGGTGCCCCTAGGTATGTATAGAGCAGTGTTGGTAGGGGCATGGCTCTTTTTTCTCTTTCCCTCCACCTGCCCTCAATAACTTGATGGTGTTGAGCTTTGTCTGAACCCCATGCTTCTGGAAAGCAGCTACAGTCAAGATATTCCCCCCAACCCTTTTGTGCCCCCACCCACACACCCCATTTTGAATTCTAAGAAACAGCTGACCTTAAAAGAGTATTCCAAGATAAGACCCACTTCTACCTTTCCTCAATGACTCAGATAAGACCCTCCATCTTTCCTTACAATGACTCTGTTGTTGACCTGCCTCCATACCAGGCCACCTTCCTTTTCTTTGATACATTCCTCATTAATGAGCATTCTCCCTATTGGAAGAATCTGAACAAAATCATTAAATTTATTGTCCTGTGCATTTTGTCTTTCACATGCTCTCTTTTGTTCTCCCTTTCTTCATCATAATGAATTTTACAATGAGAGATATGCTGAGATAATATATTGAAAATCCAGTTGATAGGTTGCATTACGGTATGAGTGTACTAATGCCTCTGAACTGAATACTTAAAATGGTAAACTTAAAATAATGGATATTTTACCACACTAAAAATTTCCAGCTGACCTACAAATACAATGAAAATTATTTTATTCAAAACAATTAGGACCCCTACTACGTGCTGGATGATGGGTTAGGGTGAGGGGGAAGTAGGTGGGGCCTAAGATACGAAATGAGTAAGACCTGCTTCCTGTGGTCCAGGAGCTCCCAGCCTTGTTGGGGAGACAAATACATAATCGGCTAATTGAGCTACATGATTCAGGGTGACATATTGTAATAGATATGTGCACCGCCCGATTTAAGCCAGGTTGTGAAAGGCCTTGAATGCTACACTAAGGAGTTTGGATTTTAAAGCAAGGGTGTGACAACGAATAGATTCATTGCAATACCTAATGTCTTATCACCAAACATCTGCTCTGTGGAGTGTGTAGAAGATCAATGACCGCAACAGCTTTAATTTTTAAAGTAGATTCCCTATACAGCAAGCTTTCATCCATGTTTCTCTTATTAAACATATTTCTGCTCAAGAAAGAAAGAGTCAACTTGGTTAAGTCTGTTGGCAAGCGCTCTGTAAGAAATATGCTTGGGGCACATTGAATGCTTAGAGTGGGGCACCTGCCTGAAGGAGTCAAGGGAGGCCTCCAGGAGGAATGGGCTGGGGAAAAGAAGAGGGAAGAGGTGACGCTGGACCATAGAGGTGAAGGGAGGGACCTGTGGGCAATAAAGCCAGAGGAGGGTCAGGGCCAATGGCAGGGGACTTTGTGTGTCAGGATAAGGGCCCTGAATCTTTTCTCCACAGGTGATGGTTAGCCAAAAAGGGCTCTATTAATAATAATGATGATAATAATATAGTGTTTACTATGTGCCAGGCACTACTGTAAGAGCCTTATCAATTTCGACTTATTTTACCTTATTTTAACTTAGGAAATAGCATGGTAGACGGTTTAGATAAGTTGGGTAGCCATGTGGATGATGGTGGCCAGGAACACAATACTAGGGACACATGTTGTGGTTCCAGAGAAATTGCAGAATGGACAGGATGCAATGGCTTTGCAAAATAGAAATAAAGACATCAAGACTTGATTCATTATTGGTTGCATGGTGAGGAAAAGGTAAAACGGGGATGACTCACTTTTTTTGGCTTTGGGAACTGGGTATGTATATTATTGTGCTTACCCAGGTGAAGGATTGATTACTCTGTTCTATTTCTTTTTTTTTAAGATTTTATTTATTTATTTTTGAGAGATGGGGAAGAAGGAAGAAAGAGAGGGAGTGAAACATCAATGTATGGTTGCCTCTAGCACACCCCATACTGGGGATATAGCCTGCAACCCAGGCCCTGACTGGGACTCAAACCAGGAATGCTTTGGTTTGCAAGACTGCACTCAATCCACTGAGCTACACCAGCCAGGGCCTCTGTTCCATTTCTTAGAGGACTTGCTTAAGTCTTCTAGTACCTCCTACTCACTCCTGGGTTATTTAAAAGTGAGTTGTTCAATTTTCAAATATTTGGGATTTCTCCTAAATATTTTTGTTATTGATTTCTAGTCAAATTCCATCACAATAGAACATCATTTATGTACTTTCAATTCTTTTAAATTTGTGAAGGTTTTGTGTGTGGGTGGTGGTGGCGGCAGGGGGAGTTTGCTGTTTGTTGACCCAAACTATCTTGGCAAATGTTTCTTTTGCACTTGAAGAGGACATGTTTTCTGCTGTTGTCGGGTGAAGTTTCTATTAAGGTCATCAGGTCCAGTTGTTTGATAGTGCTGTTCAAGTGTTTTATAAATCTGCTAATTTTCCTGACAATTTTCCAGCTACTTCCATTGTGTAATTTCTCTTCTCTATTTCTCCTTTCAGTTCTATATCCTCCCGATAGTTTCGCAGTCAGGAGGGTACTATGGCAGAGAGGTTAAAACGTTTGCGTGGGGCAGGAAGAAACATTTAAATTTAATCTGGATAAGAGAAGAAACATTTTATCTCTTTAAATTTTCTTCAGATTGCAAAGACAAAATGAAAATCACTACATACACCAGTATGCCTAGCGGAACTCAGGACAAAAGCAAATACGGGAGTCCAGGCACTTGGCCACGCCCCCTTCCTGGGTTGGCAAGGCAACTGATATCAAGCCAGCCAATCAATAAGATACTCACCTGCGGCGCCGGAGAATTGACCAGAGCCAATGGGACGCGGAGCAGATGGTTCCATGGGCCAATGGCTTGTGAGGCAGGGCGGAGTTTTGATGAAGGGACAGTGGTGAGAAAGATGGCGCCCACTTTAGGACCCTCGGGGTGGCGGTGGCGGCGGGGTTTGTCGGCTCGGGATGGGTCCAGGATATTTCTCCTTTTTCTTTTGTTGGGGTCTGAGCAGGGACCCCGAAAAGTCGGGGCGGGTCAGACGTTCGAGTACTTGAAACGGGAGCACTCGCTGTCGAAGCCCTACCAGGGTGAGGCGCCCGGGACTAGGTGGTCGTGCTCGGGGAGGGCTTCAGGACCTGAGTTCCTCGGTACAGACGGGCGGCCTCGGGCTTCGCGGCTTCGGAAACTGCCACCGGTGGGAGGGGGCCCATGGGGACTCCTGCCGCTTTGGGGAGCCACGGGCCTGCAGGGCAGGGGTCAGGCTTCCTCCACACCTACCCTCTCGCACCGCCCCGTACTTAGCGGTGGGTGTTTCCAGCGGGTAGTAACTGGGCTTTTGGAAGCGGGTAGGGCTAGGCCTGAACAAAGAGGAGAACGGTGTTGGACAGGAGGAATGTGGGAAGGGGAGGGGACTGCGAATAGGGGGCGAGCGATGGAAGCCCAGTAACAAGGAGCTTGTCTCTGGAGCTGTAGTTGTACTAGAAATAAAGCAAGAGGCAGAGCTGAGGTCGAACTTGGCCGAACTGAGACAGAAGATAAATCTGTTGCGGTTTAAAACACCTGTTTCCCAGTCTAGGAACCATATTGATGAAAGAGACTGGTAGCTTTGCTCTGTTTAGGGTTCGTAGGCCCTTAGGCTCAGCTTATCAACCAGAAAATGTGTATACTTGGCTGCAGAGAGGACCAAATCAGTGCAGATGGCGTGACACAAAGCCATCTTTGGTTGGGTAGGAGGACAGCAAACAAACACACACAAACTCCAAGTGCAAGAGCATTTGTTAAGCACCCTTAACACTGCTGTTAAGGGTGATTATTCGCTTAGCAGATGCATGGAGTGCCTCCTGTGTGTGGGTCTCTGCTAATGCTGTGGGTTATACAGACACAGTTCTCACTCCCAAGGGGCTTATAGTCTGAGGTATCTGGTGAAGTCGTGCTTGGATTGTTTAAAGAAACAAGGTGATTAAGCCCCAGAGGCCTGAGGATCAAGCTCTTTTTGGCTTAACCAGGGATTTTTTTTTAATGGTGCTACAATTAGTCACACATAAAAAAGGGAAGAATGGATTTGAGCAATGGTTAACAGTGGCATGGATAAAGTGATAGCTCTGATGTGCTTTGGGGTCTTTACCTGAGAAGGGCTTTGTGAAAGGAAGCTGTAAAGATCATAAGGATATAAAGTTTATGATAGAAAGTGGGAGATTGACATGAAAAGGGAAAAAAAGATGATAACTCCAGCTTTTGGAAGGCCTTGTGGTGGCTTTCTGAATGGGTTGGTGTTGAAGAATGTGAACTGATCTACTTCCTCTATGTAGGTGTGGGCACTGGAAGTTCCTCATTGTGGAATCTGATGGGCAATGCCATGGTGATGACGCAATATATCCGCCTTACCCCAGATATGCAAAGTAAACAGGGTGCCCTATGGAACCGGATGGTAAGAATCTTCCTCCTGTGTTGGTGACTCCAAAAATCCTAGAAAGTTCACCAGGGGCATGTTGACTTAATTTTACTGTTTATTTCCAGTATTCTATCTTCTGTGTTTATCAGGGGTTTTCATTTCATAGACTTTGATGACCTTCATAATGAAATCAAATATTTAGGGAAATGCTCTCCATTGCCCTAATTATAACAAATAACTCATTTTGATTCTGTTTTCTGAAATGTCTTCAATTCCTTATTGACTTGATAGTATGACTTCTTGAAGGTTAATAACTCATGTTTAGTTACTTTGCTTTGTAAAGTAGAAGACTTGTCTTCTAAATTTATCCCAAATTTCATTCCAGTTTCTTCTTCCCCTTCTTTGTTATTTCACTTTGAGGAGTCTAATTTTAAGTTTTATTTTCATGTGAAAGCCACTTTGCACCCTTGGTCATTTTATTTGTCCTTTGGACCTTTTCTAGTACATTGTCTTTCTTGAGGTGTGACGGCAAGAAGTGAATGTGGTGTTTCTGGTGCAGCTGCATTTTGTGTACAAGTGTAAGATGATGCTTTCTTTTTGGTTTCCAGGGCTCTTTGTAAGTCTTTTACTACCACTTTACTTTTGGGAATGACCTTGACGTCACCCTTGCATACCTTCTTTTGGGTTCACATAAGCTAAGAACTCACTATTCTGTGTTTTTTTTTTAATCATTAGGTTTAGATAAGTTGAATCTCGGAAAAGAGCACTATTTCTTCTGCCTGTTCATGTTATGTGTAGAGAATACTAAAGGAGCATAGGGAGAAGAGAAGTTTCAGCATGAGCCATTTGCACAAGCTGGTCCCTTAACCCAGACTATGGGGCTGAGCTTATTCCTAGACAGAGTGTAGGATGGTGTGTTGTGGTAGAGGAGGTGAAGGGCTGCCAGTTGAAAGACTCAGGTTGCAGATCTAGCTGTTTATCACCCACTGTGAGCCCTAGGAGGTTAGTTAACCTCTCAGTTTTCAGTTTCTCCATTTGTCAGATGTACTTCATAATTCTTGTTCTACTTGCCCACCAGGGTTGTTCTGAGAATAGGCATGAAAAAGCTGTGGAAAGTTAAAATGGTTACAGAAATGCACGTTGTTATGTTCTATATCCCTTACAAGGTTCATTGATGGAGGTCTCTCAGTTACTAAATGATTGTATCCAGGGCTAGCACTTTGCTTCTCTCTTGCTAGCAGTCTCTACATAACTTTTAGCAGCACTTCTAGTCTAGTTTCCAGTTTTCCTTTTTTGGATTTGCTGCTACCTGTATTTTTTGATAACTGACTGCCAGAAAGAACCTTGGGATTCGTTTCTGAGTTATTTAGATAGGAAGCACTGGTTTGAGCAGTGGTTCTCCAGTTTGGCTGACCATTGGAGTTGATACCTGGATCCCACCCCCAGAAATTCTGATTTAATTGGAATGGGGTGCTGTCTGGCCATTGGGATTTTTTAAAGCCCTCTAGGACTGGGTGAATCTAATGTGCAGCAAAGTTTCAGAACCACTATTAGACATAGTCCGGAGCAAAATTGTATAGCATTGTGCTACATGAGGCCAAGGATAAGTGGCAGACACCTGTTGGGTCAATGTGAACCTCTCTGGCCCTGCCCTCTTTCCAGGGGCATAAAGTCCACCCATTAGCTCCCTACCACTGAATTTTACTCTTGCCCTGAAATATAAATGTAACAGGAGAAAGATGAGAACCCAGAATGACTATAGAGAGGCTGAGTTCATCAGAGTAGGGTAAGCTGATGGAGATTTCAGGGTTTACTGGTGAATTTAGAAGTATCTGCACTCCTTTCATTTGGACCATGTACTCCCAATTTTAACACTTTTTGGAAGATTTCCCAGAAATTAAACTGAAAACTGAAAATGATCTAGCAACATGTTGCTTGAGAGCCAGAACAATCTATTTGGAGAGACTTCAGCTGAATCCTATTGGTCTGTCCACTCCTCCTTCTCTTTTTTCATGGTGAACTTTAACCAGGAACCTCTCTAAACCAAATACTCACTGTGGTTTCTACTTGAAAGTGTTCAAAATAGTGTCAACAATAAAATTTTTTTTTAAATAATTAAAAAAAGAAAGTGTTAGACTATTTGGAGTACTTACCTCCTTCTTCATTTTTCCAAGGTTTGCTACACAGTTCAAAAATAGAAACAGGTGTCTGATTCATACCCACCTCCTTAAATAAGGTTTTCCCATCAGAAGCTGTCCCTGTTGTGGGGGTGGGGTTGTTCTCTTTTGGTACATTTATGCTTCTTGATCACAGGCATGAGGTTTTGGGGGATTGTAACTTATGCCTCCTCATGGGAACTCCAGCTTATTCCTTAGCTTGCCATAGAGCCAAGTCTAACTAATTAGAGGTATGTATAGCATCTGTTAATTATTCTTGGAAACCTTTGTAAAATGACTTTGTCTTTCTTATTCTTTCACAATTCATAAGGCTTTGACCTTTCTTTAAATTCAAGCTTTTTAGAGTATATCTGTCAGAGAGGTGTTCTTAAGCTACAGATGAGATATTTTAGCCACCTGTACTCTACGGCCTGAGATGTTTTTCTGGATCTGTGTAGAATGATAGCAGCCTCATGTGGTGGTCTCGTGTCTTTTCCCACTTCAGAGCACTATACTGTTCCTATTGGGAGACATTGAGGGAAATTAAGAGGTTGATTTACTTTTTATATTAAATTTCATATAGAGTTGAATGACTCTATTTATTTAACTTTGTGACACAAACACTTAGCAAGTTTTAACCCTTAGCCTCATGTTACCTGCATGTATATTTTCCTAGTCCGTAGACTGCTGATGAGGGGTTTCACATTCATGCCCTTTATTGATCCCAATGTGTTTTTCACTTCAGCCATGTTTCCTGAGAGACTGGGAATTGCAGGTGCACTTCAAAATCCATGGACAAGGAAAGAAGAATCTGCATGGGGATGGCTTGGCAATCTGGTACACAAAGGATCGGATGCAGCCAGGTATTGGGACCCTAGGTTGCTTTTGTGTAAGGGGTGAATGACTGCTTTCTTTCTTTTTCTTTATTTAAAAGATTTTGTTTATTTATTTTTAGAGAGAGAGGAGGGGAGGGAAAAAGAGAGGGAAAGAAACATTGAGGTGCAAGAGAAACATCCATCGGTTTCCTCTTGTACACCCCCAGCCAGGGACATGTGCCCTGACCAGGAATCGGAACGGCAACCTTTTGGTTTGTGGGATGATACCCAACCCATTGAGCCACACCGGTCAGGACCCAACCTGCTTTCTCATGTGCCCTCTTTTTGAGAAGGGTACATCCCCACAATGCCAGCAATTTTTCCTCTCCCTTGATGTCTGTGGGTGCAGACTGGCCTGTCTAGTCTCTAGAGTGGGGTCTGAATCCTCATAAGGAGCCGAATTTGACTCATCCTGAGGTGATTCTTGCTTATTAGTTCTTTCTGATTTTCCTGTGACCCAATCTGGCCTGTTGACTAGGTGAAAGCAATGGCTCTCCCGAAGACTGATGACCCGGTGAGCAGATTCCTTCTGGGTGTTCATAGTGACCGATCTCAGCACTCCTGAGTTAGGAAAACAGTGTCTGTTTTTCCCTATTGTGTGGGAGCCCCAAGCAGATGGAAAATTCCAGCTGATTCAGCCTGATCTCTTTTGCAACAAGAAGTCAAATTTGGGAAATCAAATCTCTCTTAGGGGCATGGCCATCACCAAGTGTTGTGAAGCAGAATTCTTTAGGGGCGCCTCAGCAGCTAGTCAGGATCGGGGAGCAGATATAGTGCTAAACAAGGTCGCAGTGGCCTTTTCTCTTTCCCCTACCTTCAGTCGAAGCCACAGCTATTTATTGGCTGCTTGTTATAGGCCCTGTACTTTTCTGGGTGCTTTTACATGTATTTTCTCATCTTAATTGAGGCCTGAGAGGCATTTGAATTTTACTTTTTCTCCATCATAGTGATATATTATTCTTATTTCAACTCTTGACTTTTTTTCATTGTTCATCATCTGTTCTCTCTCTCTAGGGCCTGTGTTTGGAAACATGGACAAATTTGTGGGGCTGGGAGTATTTGTAGACACCTACCCCAATGAGGAGAAGCAGCAAGAGGTAATGGCAAGTGTCAGAGCTTAGGTCAGCCACATGGACGTTCCCATTCTCTGCTGTAGGAATGCTGTTCAGAAGGGAACAGAGAGGCTAGGAAGTGAGGGGTTCACTTCTGCTTTCTTCATCTACCGAACTTCAAAAGTTAATATCTTTGTCAGTGTTTTTACTGGAGAGATCTGTTTATGGTGCATAGTCTTTTGGGAATGGCTGTCTGAATGAGGGCTTTCTCTTCAATATTAATGGTGTTCTATGTTGGGCACATTAGGTGGTTGCTGGAAGTGAGCATGTTTGGCTAGTTGGTGATATGTCTGCGAGGCCAGCAGCACCAGAGCAAGCTGAATTTATGTAACTAAGCTCCCCTGATGATGTAATATATCACTGCTCTGTTTTGCAGCTTGCTCACCCTTTCCAGCATCCTTTTCTTCCTCCTCTTCTCAGACCTGAACAGCATTTCTCTTCTTCTCTAGAAAAGGCTATCAAATGAAAGGGATGGAATCTCAGGATTTTGTGGGAACCCAGTATCTGGCTGTTGGCAGAAGCTTCTTTCTATTTGTTAGCAAATCCTAGGGGTTCTTTAGTATTTTCTTATGCTAGCAACAGGTTGGTACTCTCTGCCCAATGGTCCCGCCATCATATGGTGGGAAAATGATAATGACAGGTTGTTGCTGGACATCCTATAACTGAATAATATTTAGCAAGAAAGGCAGGATTAGGAGTGGAGGTAGAACTCACTTTATTTTTAAGCCCTAAAATTTTCAAACTTATAAAAATATTGGGAGAACAGATCACTGTATATGCAACACCCAGATTCAGCAGTTTTTAACATTTTCCACAGAGTTCACCTTAGAGGATGTGGAGAGTAAGACCTGAGTTAGAATAAACTTTTGTTGTGGGTCAGTTACCAGAGTTGTTTCTGAGTCCCTCTTCACTCCACCGTCCTCAGGCCCTGAGAATCTTGAGCAAGACCAATATGATCCTTGTACTCAGTAGCACTGATGTGTGAGAATGCTGGTGGGGGTCTAGGGGATGTGGAAGGAAGACGGCAGCAGCATCTGATTGGGGCAGGACTTTGATGGTGGTGGTGGCTGTTGGGGAAGATTTTTTCCAGGACATGACATTTACATTGAAGTCTGCAAAATGAGGAACCAGTGAGGAAAGAGCATGTATTAAGGTGATGAAGTGAGAGAAGGGGTAACAATTGTAAGGACAAAAAAGGAATCAGAAAGAGATGAGGCCAAAGAGAAGAATAGAGCCAGCAGTGTTGCCATCGTGCACAGTTCCAGGAGCCACCGTTCACATTGCACTCTTTTGTATTAACACTGTTCTTTCTTGAGCATATTAACTGGCCACTGAGATTGAACACTGTCTCTTTGGGTGGGCAGTGGTTTGGCTATTTAGACCAGCACCAGAGCAGTCTGCATGTATGTGACTTACCCTCAGCACGCACACTGTTGGGCCAGGTATTGAAGGTGTTCCCATTAAGAAATATGGACTGTATTCTAAGGGGGTAAGTGCATTAAAGGATTTTAATGAGGAGCTTATCATGACTGGGTGTTTACTTGTGCTGAGGAAGTATTGGTGGTTAGAAGTGCATCAGAATAAGAGGTCTGGGCTTCAGGGACTAACTACAGTTTTAAATCTGCCTCTGTTTCTTCCAGAAATGAATTGTTCAAACTGTCTTGGCTTCCATTTCACTGTCAGATACTAGTAATTCTGGTTTGAGAGGGCAAATCCAATGAGCTTATTTTATAAGGATAGTAGCTGTTAATAAAAATTAGTTTCAGGTGGTAAAAAGTGGGCCTTCTTTTCTGGCTAGCAATTGTGGTTCTGACTCCCAACTGCACATTGGAATTACCTAGATAGTGTTTAAAAATGCTAGTGTCCAGACATAACCTCAGAGAGTCTGATTCCATTTGTCTTAGGTGAAATTTAGGCAACCTTACTTTCCAAAAGTCTCAAAGCTCTCCAGGTGAGTCACATGTATTGGCTATATATTGAGAACCCCTCACCCAACATCAGGTCCTTTTTTTTTATTGTTTGTTTATTAAACAAATTTTAAAATTAAAACTAAATTTAAAAAATGAATAAAACCAGTTTTGTTTACTACTTTGGCTATTTTGTGCTGGGCACTTTACAAGTACTGTCTTAATCCTCATCAAATCTCCTTGTAGTCAGTATTATTTTTCCCATTTTACCAGTGAGTAAACAGACACTTAGATAAATTAACTGTCTCAGAACAAGTAATATAAGATGGTGTCAGATTTTGAACACAGGTCCACCTGATTCCAGAAACGTGCTTTTAATTATGATGCTCTATTACTTCCCACCCACTGTTTTCTTCTGCAGGGTAGATTTCCTTGAGAATGTAGGCATTCACTATTCTCATGTGATCTGTGCAATTTCAGTTCTTAGAGCTTCTACTTGGTGAGTGCAGAGAACATAGAAAGTGTATTCCTTTCCACATATTAACAACCTGGACTATCTTAGATGTGTTTTGTTAGCAGCATGGTTTACTATGATATGATATGATATGATATGTAAGGGTGCCAGCTATTGTTCCATGCACTTTTACAGTTATTATTTGCGTATCAAAACAGTACTTTGGAGCATATATTATTTGTATCTGTACATTATGGGTAAGAAACTGAAGTCCAGAAGGCTAAAAAACTTGTGACACACAAATAGTGGGTTTAACTCCAATAATCTCAGCCTCATTATTTTCTTTATTATTTTCAGCACATGAGGAGAAGGTGACAAGTACAATACCTCTTAATAACTTGCAGATGTTATGTCATGTTTAGAAGATGTGCTGGATGAGGAGGACAAGGAGCTGATAGGAGGGGTGTGGAATAATAATTCATCAAATCCCTTAAGCTATTGTAGTGAAAATGTTTCCCTGGTTTCTTGTTTCTTTGTCACCAGAGTGTACATGACCTTGTTGCTCAACTCACTTGGTAGCACATTTGTTCATGAGGAAATACTGGGAGAATGCTAGCAACTAATAATGCATCTCGGAAGAGGTGAAGGGAGTTCAGCATATGAGTAGAGTTTGGGCTTAGCTATCTGAAATCAGGACAGATTGTCCAAAGTCACATAGTTTCCCCACCAATGATACAGGAATTGCAATTTAGGTGATTAAATGAGGAGCTTCAGTATTTGGGAGTACACGGTACTACTACCTGTGCTGCAATGAGGTTGCCAGATCATAAATGGTTGTTGAAATAATACTTGAAGAAATAGAAAATCTGGATAGATCTATATAAATAAAGTGATTGAATTAGTAATTTAAAATAATTCACAAAGAAAGGCCCAGGACCAGATGGTTTCACTGATAAATTCTAACAAATATATAAAGTAGAATTAATACAGAATTCTCCAACCCTTACAAAATGTAGAAGGAAGGGACACTACCAACTAATTCTTGAATTGGTATTACCCTGATACTAAAACTAGATAAGGATATCATAAGAAAACTATAGAATAATATCTCTTATAATTATAGGTGGAAAATCTATACAAAACACTAGCAAACCAAATCCAGCAGCATGTGAAGAGGATTATATACTATGACTGAGTATGTTTATCCTAAAATTAATGTTTGGTTTAATATCTGACAATTAATATGCTAGACTGTAGTAATAGAATAAAAGGCAAAAGTCATTTGATCATAGTAATAGATGTAGAGAAAAGTATTAGACAAAATATAATACTTCTGTGATAAGAAAAGTACTCAACAGATTAGGAATAGAAGGGAACTTCCTCAACCTGGTAAAGGGCATCTGGAAAACCCCCAGATAACATTACACTTCATTATAAAAGATTGAAAGCTTTCCTCCTAAGGTCAGGAACAAGACAAGTATTCTACTCTTGCCACTTCTATTCATCATAGCCCTAGGTGGTCTAGTCAGCACAAGTAGGCAGGAAAATAGAAGACATCTAGATTAGAAAGAAAGAAGTAAAACTCTTTCTGCTTGCAGTTGACATTATCTTGCATGTCAAAAACCCTAAAGAACCCACAAACTTAGAACTAATAAATGAATTCAGCAAGGTTGCAGGACACAGGAGCAACATACAAAAATCAGTTATATTTCTATATGTTTGCATTGAACAATTGGAAAATGAAAGTAAGAAAATTCCATTTATACTATTACCAAAAAGGAATAAAATGTTAGAAATAAATTTAAAGAACATATATTCTGAAAACTATGATATATTGTTAAAAGAAATTAAAGAATATCTAAGTAAATGGAAAGACATACCAGATCATGAATTAGAAACTTAGTATTGTTACGATTGTGACATTCCTCATATTAATCTACAGATTTGGTTATCAGAAGCCTTATTAGAAGCCAATCCCTATCAGAAGCCTAGCTGGCTTCTTTGATAAATTGATAAGCTGATCCTAAGATCAACAAAAATGCAAGAGAATCAGAATAGCTAAAATAATTTTAATAAAGAGCAAAGTTGGGGCACTCACACTTTCTGATTTTAAAATGTACTACAGACTCCAGTCAAGATGGCAGCGTAGGCAGACATGGCTTGTGTCTTTGCATGACCACATCAAAATTACAACTAAAAGAAGAACAGCCATCACTCAGGAATGGCAGAAATTGAGCTGAATAGAAGCCTGACTATGGAATTAAAGAAAGCACATCCATCCAGACTGGTAGGAGGGGCACAGAGGCAGAACAGGCTGGTCCCACACCCACGTGAATAAAAATTCAGGAGGGATATTTTGGGAGTGAGGAGTCACAGACCCACACCAGGACCCCCAGCCCAGGATTCCAATGCGAGGAAGATAAGTCTCCATAACTTCTGGCTCCAAAAACCAGTGAGGATTGAGTTTGTGGAAGAAACTTCTAGAGCCCCAGCAGCTCCTTGTAAAGAACCAACACACAGATTCACTTAGACATCATTGGCATATAGGGAAAAACTGAAGTGTCTGGCATCATGGTGAGCCTAGGCCATTGTCCCTTTGCTAAACCTCCCTCACAACAGAACCA